CACGGTGTGGTGAAGCCAGTATAATATGTTTCACCACACCACGAAGCTATAATAAATAATAAGATGTTAAAATCATCTAGCAAAGGTATAGTGTCTCTAGTTTATCTGTGTTGTCATTTTGGTAGAAGTTATTATGAAACAAGTGTAATGGCCGATTCTATGGTAATGGTAAATTTGAGTAAGTCAAATCTTTGGTGTTGGCCATTACAGTTCAAATCTAGTTTCATAGTGTCTCTAGTTGTTAGAATTTACCCCAGCAGGAGAAACGTAATATATTGAATATTAGTATTGTAAATTCTTCAGGTTCGTCTGGGTCCTCTGTCTAAGCGCCAAGCGGCCGACCCCGGACCTGCCTCTGCTGAGACCGCTGGATACATCCCAGGGGTCGGTCTGAGGAGCCCTGGTCAGTCCCGAGTCTGGACCAGCGCCATGTTGAAAACCTACGCTGTGGTGACAATCGTCCTGATTTGCTGTCTGCTGGGAGTTACCACCTTTCTGGGTAAATAAATGAGCAATGTATTATTTTAAAAAATTGTTAGTAGAAAATGATTAAAAACTGAACCTTCATTAATTGTAATTGTCTGTCCTCTTTCCTACATTATTCGGTGTTCTCGTCCATTTACACAGCTATGAAGTTGGAGGAAAATGAGAAAGCTGTGAACAACGTTGCAGCCAGTGTGACACATCTGACCAAGTCAGGGCTTGAGAGGGAGAAGATACTCCAACGTCTGGAGAAGCTGGAGGACAACATGAAGAACAAACAAGACAAACCGGAGAAAGAGCGTGCTCCGATACGCCTACCAGGTATAGTAAGGTTTCAGTATATGGTGACGAGTGGTTTTATTATTCATTAGTCACGTCTCCATTCTAGATCTTCTGCCAAATGCATCATTCCCTTTGTCGGTAAAGTACAAATTATTGACTTACTAATAACTCCTAACACAAAACTCAAGGAATTAAAAAAATATATTTGTCCAACAAAAACTAGCCCTTGACAAGATTTAAAGACTTCGTGTTAAGTATGATTAAGATGATGAAACAGGTGCATGTATCAGACAGAACCAGCCAACTTATTCAAAAGGAGCTAAGCCAACACGGAAGTGTGGACTACGATTGTACCTTAAAAAATCTTGAAAGTAGCTATTCCATCAATTAGGCAGTTCAAAGTTTTGGATTTTGATACTTTTTTAAGGTCAAGTCGATCACTTCAAGATTAGAGAAAAAAAAGAATTGCAAAGACAATAATTTTGTGTAGACTACAGTGGCCTGTGGTATAAGTGACATGCCTCTAAAGACCAGACATTTCCTGTTTTAGCGACCTGTCCAAACGGTTACAAGAAGTATCGCGAAGTCTGCTACAAAGCCTTTGACGTCAAGAAGACCTTCTCCAAATCGTCTGAGACCTGTCGGGCTGACGGAGGCACCCTCGCCATGCCCCGCGACGCCGGTATCCACGACTTCCTCGTCTCCCTGCAGAAACCGGTATGTAGGTTCTGCGGCTTTTGGATCGGCTTACATGATAAGCGACAAGACGGCAAGTGGGAGTGGATAGACGGCACCGCTCTGGGGACAGGCTACAACCGGTGGGCGTTCGGTGAACCCAACAACTATGAGGGGAATGAGTACTGCGCTTCGCACTGGGTAACGTCAACGGCCCGTTGGTATGATGACCCTTGTGACAGAAACCACCGTTTTATCTGCCAAGTCCTGCCGTCAGGTTCGTATCATTTCACAAACTGGCGTGATATTTCATGAATAATGCAGGCATGTCGAGTTAAAAGATACAAGTACTGAGCATAGAAACTTTTTTAATTAAATGTTTTTTTTCGAAGTACTATCAGTCCGTAGCTAGTAGCATTGACTTGTCAAAATCAATACTAGTAATATGTACATGATTATAAATCGTGGGAACATGCATGTAGGATAAGATCATCCAACAATGATACAGAATGGCAAATGAGACGTAAATGCTAATTCATAATGCAGAAATAAAGTAAGCAGACAGGAATAGAGAAAATACTGAGAACAGCCCTTTGCTAATCACAAATCTTTTATTCATCTTCCCTTCAGCTGCTCCAGGCAAGTAACCGGAAGCCCATGTATGGGAAGCGGCCCCGGCTACAGTCGTGAAACGTGGGTCCCGACATCCGGGTGTGGAGACGACTTAGAAGTGACGTAGGCGTCACATGTAGAAACAGCCTACATTCTAGGCTGAGGCAGGTTTAATTCCACGGACAGCGCCACTGCGCTAGTCTGCTTACGTATCTAAGGTTTTAATGTCTTGAGATGACATAAGAGTTCACAATTTTTGCACTGTTTTAGTTTTTGCCTTTAAATGTTTTGTGATGACAAAAAAATACATGTAACAACAGTGACCGGAGCAGTAACTAAAGAAGATACAGCGTTAGTTCGCCTTGCATTCATGAGATCGACGATTAATAACAATGTCTTCTAGAATGATTTCATTTTTCAGCGGTTTTGCCAAGTGCAGTACCATATAGGGTTAGTTGTGGAGGACAAGATACGAGGGGTCAATATATGGAATCCATGTATAAACGTAGAATTGGTGAAAATGCTCTGTATACAAGTTGCAACACGTATCATGGAAAAATGACACCGTGGGTAAAGTTGACCTGTGTACCATCTGGATTTTCGCTCCGGAACGCTCGAAAAAATCACATTTAAATTTTTTCGAGAATTACGGAGCGAAAATCCGGATAGTAACCCAGGCTACTGTAAAGTACCATGGCAGAGGGACTTCATTGCGTTATCATCATGGTGCATCTAACACGAGAAAGAAATAAACATGACCTTTCACATTTACTACGGCATTGTGCACTCAATTGGTCTGTATAGGTGACGCTAGTGGCACTGGGAACATGATTGTTTGGTACGGATGTGAGGGATGTGATTGACTTATTAAAGCCTCTGAACAGCTCCCTTTTAAGTTGGATTTTTTTCCTTCCCCACATATTTTTCTCTACTGATTTAATTCATGTAACGCTTTGTAAACGTCAGAACCAGACAATCATTGTGGGTATGACTGAGAAAAACAAGTAGAGTTGAACGTTTGACACGCTACGTTTCGGGTAAACAAGCTGGTTGTGAGAAGACGACCGCCTGCCTGCGATGGAAGAAAACGTCTCCAACGAGGCCTGCAGGGTCTTCAGCTCCTGCAACGATCTCGGAGATTCCAGCAATGACTACGAGGAGGCCTGCACGGTCTCTCCGCCGAAGATGCCGGCTACGAAGATAGGGAGGGCTTCTGGCCTGAACCCAGCACCGGGAACGTCAGACGTTTCAGGAGAGCCAGGTAAGGTTCTCTGCAGTTTTAAAGTAATCCAGAATCAAAGAGTATTTAATACGTACAGATCCCAGGGACGCCAAGAGGTCAAGCCTGCATAATAATAAAACAATGCATTGATTTTGTCGACTCTAATATAATAGTGCAGCACGTTAGAAATCTGTCCCAATTGGTCTACGGTTTCCTCGCGTTTTGATCTGTATTTTGCGTTTCTCTGTTCGTCTCAGTATTTCCCTAAGATACTGACTACATTCTTCAGGTTCGTTCGGGTCTAAGTCTAACGACAAGCGCCAAGCCGCCGACCCCAGACCTGCCTCTGCCGAGACCGCTGGGTACATGAAGATGTCGGTTAGGAGGATAGGGAAGGCTCCTGACCCGAACCCCGCACCAAGTATGTCAGGCGTTTCAGGAGAGCCAGGTAAGGTTCTCTGTATTGTCAAAATAATCCAAAAGGAGGGGAGAATTATTACAGGTCCGAGAGACGGTAAGAGATTAAGTCTGCATGATATAAAACAAGGCAGTAATTTTGTCGATTTTCCTATTCCATAAGCGATACTAAATCATCAGATCAATACATGACCATATTGAATGAATGAAACCTTTATTGTACGTTTGTGCTCTAACAAGCTAGTAAGTACAAGTCACGAATAAACAGGGGAAAAGAATACGCACGGCAATAACACTTAAACTATACATACTAATGTGGTCTGCTATTTACAGGTTCAAGTTCTTCTCGCTTATTTAGGCAGTTATAGATGTAAGAACAGATTGGGCTCATGATACATTGTTATATTTTGTAACTAATATATTGCATCGACAGTAGTTCGTAGTAAGGGTTGTAAGATAGTTTAGGTTTACTGTATAGTTGTCTTACTGCCACATATTGTATCATGTACGATTGTCAAGCAATAAAGTTCATTCATTCATTAATATTCATTCATACAACAGTGCTACGTGTGAGAAATCTGCCAGGATTGCTCCTCGTTTCTGTTCGTCTCAGTATTTCTCTGTTCAAACCCAGCAAGATACTGTACATCCTTTAGGTTCGTCCAAGCCTAACGACAAGCGCCAAGCCGCTGACCCCGGACCTGCCTCTGCTGAGACCGCTGGGTACATCCCAGGGGTCGGTATGAGGAGCCCTGGTCAGTCCCGAGTCTGGACCAGCGTCATGTTGAAAACCTACGCTGTGGTGACAATGGCACTGATCTGCTGTTTGCTGGGAGTTACCATCTTTCTGGGTAAATAAGCAATAGTTTTTTTTTAAATTCATCGGTACAGAATAATTGATACTAATCCGAAAGGGTCTTTACTAATTACCTATATGGGGCTAGCTCCTTGGTGGTGATTAGTGTAGATCCTATTGGTTAAACATTATTATCAGTCCCTGTGCCTTTTTACAGCTGTGACAGTGTCAGACCTGAAGCTTGCATTCAACAAGCTCGACCAGAAAACAACTGATGATCTGAAGGGCCTGAAGCTGTCAGTCAGCAAGCTCGACCAGAAGACAGCTGATGATCTGTCGGGCCTGAAGCTTGCATTAAACAATTGCAAGCTCGACAAGAAGACAACTGATGATCTGTCGGATCTGAAGCTGTCGGTCAGCAAGCTGTATATGAAGACAGCCGGGGTTCAGGCAAACCTCTCTGGATGGATTCATCGCCAGCAGGTAAGAAGAAATTCTTCTCGTGAAAACATTCCAAAACATAGACAAACGCAGTTACGCAACTTGGAGGGTTAGAAAAAGGGTTAGCAAGTTTCACAGTCAATCCCAAGTCATCAAATAACATATTACCGCTGGTGTGGTGACTGACTTATCACAGTCAATTAAGTAACGCAGATCTTACAAAGAAATATCCATCTCCGATCTCGAACCATAATTGTAAAGCAGGACGATTGATTTACAGGCAGTGACAAAGGAAGTGCCGGGACGGCTGGAGGAAAATGAGAAAGATGTGAACAACGTCGCAAAACCGACCAAGTCAGAGCTGGAGAAAGAGAAGATACTGCAACATCTGGAGGAGCTGGAGGAC